TCTTTTTTTTTTTTTTTTTTTTTTTTTTTTTTTTTCTTTCTTTTTTTTTTTTTAATAATTTTCCTATCAGCCGTTCACTCAATTTTTTAATAACCTAATAATCTGGAAAAGTACGCACAAATGCCTTACTACCGCAAAATTTATACTTTTATCATCAAATATTTACGGAAATCAATATTTATTGACAAAAAAAAAATAAAAAAAATGTGTAAATATTTATAAAGAAAAAAAAAATAAAAAAAATAAGAGAGATAAGAAAGACTAACCATATAAAAATTTTCGCAGCATATGTAGAATTTTTTTGCAAATAAATTTATTAATATTTGACGAGTTATGGCTTTCGTTTCATAGCGCGAGTCAAGTATATCTATCGATTAAATATAAAAGAAAAGAAAACATTTCCGATAACTTAACCAGAAAATTTGTAATTGCTTTGCGAGAAGAAGGCCGGAATAACCTAAAAAAATCATTAAATAAATATTTAAAAGTATAAAGATCAACGTGAAACATTATTCTTATAAAAATAAATCAATATACACACTCACGCACACACAAATCAATATATACAACACATACATGATGGGCCTGTCACTAGATCAAATGTTTACGACGTACAGTTGTTTAATGTTTGCGACATTAATTAGCGGTATTTCAATTATAATGACGAAGAGCACATAACAAGAGATTTCAATTAATTAATTCATTTAAATTATTAGTTGTTTACGCACAACATACGGCGAAAGATTGCGATGCGTTACGTTTGTGCAAAGCTGATCAATATCAACCAACATGCGTTCTGGACAAAGTGAGATTATGCTTTCAAAGATTCCCATCACCATGTCTAATGCGTCAGTACCAGTGCTTATTTAATACGAGTAAGTTTAAAGTTAATTTCAGTCTATTCATATGTACATAGCGAACATCGAATTAATTTCAAAAAGTTCAAGTTCTTTTGTAACCTTGACCAGATCGTTAAACAAACTTGCTTACCGTAGTCGTGCATTTGGGGAAGTGCTTCGTCGAAAAGATCATTTGTTTGTCTCGTGTGGTAATTACTTGTGGTGGTAAACTATTCCTTTCCAGTTCCATTAGATGCGAAAACTCTATTCAGATTTTTTACATTTAGACTGTCTCGGCTTTTTCATCAGTAATTATCCTTGAAAGGGTTTCGCACGTAGCGCTAAGATAAAAGTTAAGTTGGTTGGGTCTGAAATGCAAATTTTAGACATACTAAAAAAACCATAAGACTGATCTTGAATAGAGTTTTAATCATACTAACATCACAATGGGCAACGTGAATAGGGCTCATATGACCCTTTAAGCCCTTAAGCCTTCGATTTTTGCTGACTAAAGAATGTCTAAGTACAGCCAAGCATTACCTTACAAGCCCAACCAAAGCCCAATCAAATCATAAACAATATTGAACTCCATTCCAAATAATTTCCAGTAGTTCCCCAACATCGTTCTTATAAAGAAATTGGAAGGATTGCGATGTTTTTTTATACCCATCCCCGGCGGTTGGAAAGAAGCTTCAGAGACGCCATAAAAGTGTATGTATTCTTCACTAGCATTATAGCCTGAATCAATTTAAGCGTGTCCGTCAGTCCGTCCGTATAATGTCTGTTGTAAATACTCTCCTGGCGGTAAAAACTAAGCTATTAACTTGGCAACTCTTGCACGCAGATTGGTATTGGAAATGGACCAAGTCGACCAAAGGACCCGCCTACATTACCACGTAAAGGAGGGACACCATTGTTTTTCAAAAGGAATAATACAAACTCTAATTTCGAATTCGGAATGGACCCAAGCATATCCGTCCGTTCACCTGTCCGCCTGCTCAACTGTTTAGTATATGTGGCACGCCCTCTCCCCCTTGCAAAAATGAAGTTGTCACCCACGAATTTGCAAAAGAATCTGAAAATGACCCAACCCGATCAAGGCCGACCTGACTGACAAAGTGAGAATACTTTTGCTTTCCGCCTTTTTTGCTCGCTACTCATAAACTACAGCAGATACACGATATAACTTTTATTCTAAACAATTAAGAAAAATCAATTACGCCCAACCAATATTACAGATTAGGAAAATTTAGGTTTTCCCTCTTTTCTTACTACTTTATTTAAAATTTCTTAGTGTGGCGGTGAGGGATTTAGGAGATCTGGTGTCACTCGAATATAATTTTCTGCTTTTGCATTTACCTTATCTTTATTGTGTATATTTATTTTTAAATACATTTATTTGTTTCATATTATTTATATTCTATTTTTATCTAGTTCAATAAATTCGTCACTAAATAAACCTTGAACTCGTAGGAGAAAAAATAAATAAAAATAATAAATTTCGCTCATTAAAATCTTCTAACTTAACTCGGACAGCATCCAAACAAGCATCCGGAACTTTCTGAATGGTTTCGCGATTATGTCCAACCCCAAATGACAGAAGGGAGTAAATCAAATTCTCTATTTGATCGGCGTCCGTTAGGGTTGGACTATCAGGCGAGATCCAAAATCAAAAATTCTCTCAACAAAATCGCTCTATATATATATATATATGTATTCAGTATACATCGTACAATCTTTTCGTGATTTTTGAATTTTTTTTTCTCTTTTCACATCGCTCCATCACACGTGCCCGACAAGAAAAACAATTGCAAGGGCATTCGTCCGAATTGCGCTGGAAAATTGTCCGCAAACTTTTTTATAATCAGTTAAATATATCTTTAATGCTTCTCATTTTTTTTTTCTTGCAGCTTACGTCAACTATCATTTGAGCTATTGCATGATTGATCAATTCGTTTGTGAAGAGTCTCTGTGGTTAAAAGATGAGTACAATACGTATGGCAAAGGCGATAACGTTTTCATTTATTATGAGAAACCTCAAGAAAATGTTGAAATCATTTTACAAGGCAGCAGTGATGAGGACGTCAATAATTCTACGAAGCAGAATGAAGCAGAAGACGAATAGTGCAACAAATTTTTACAACGAAATAGCACCGACTTTCGGAATATCGCAAATAACTAAATACATAAATTAAAACTCCCGGACAGCTAATGTGAATTTTTTTGAAGACCCAGATTGAATATAATTATATAATGTTTTTTTTTGTCGTCCATATAATATGCATTAACCCATTACGATCAGATTATTATTTTATCTTTAGTTGTAAAGCAGTCGAAGAAACGAATCGCGTGTACATAGAAAAATAACACCTTATATATTGCATATTTTCTCTCCGCTGGAAACAATCGTCGATGGAAGCCCTATTATATATCCGTGCATGACGGACAGGTATTTTAAATTCCACCGAAGAAACTTATGGAATTTGCTTGCTAAAGATTAAAACCTCTTTTTGTGCAAAGCTGCGCCAAACTTTCTATTCGTGGACCGGCACAAATACAATCTTTGCAAATACGTATGAAATTTAATTGTGAATGATATCGAATGCTGTCAGACAACAGTTGATATCATCCTATATGCAAGTCCTCTTAAGGCACTCACCTCGGCCACAATGATGTTTTCATTATTTCTAATCGGGAGAAGGATATCCTTAAATCTTTTCTAGGAACATGCTCAAATTATGCATTTGCGGAAAGGTGAATTTGGCTGCTTACCCGTTAGCATGCAAGAGACTTTAAAATTTACAGTTGTTACGCTTTTCGAGAAAGTATGTTATTTTCTTACGCAAATTCTGGCAAACTAGTAATTTTCCCTCGGCAACGCCTACTTCGCCATAAGAATTAAAACGATTATGCCAGCAAGTCATTTTTTGCCACCATATCATCTCCCATCAATTTGCTGCTCTACAATATAAGAAACCATATGTGATAAATGCGAAAGATGCTGAGAGCATAGCTTTCATCAAAACTGCGAAGAATTAATAAACTAAATGACTTGAGCGATACACATTTTATGATAATCTTCTTTAAAATTATGGAATGTTTTTATTATATTAAATATTAAAATGTAAATGCAATTCCAACGTATATTGATAAATAGAAATAGAATGGTTATCGGTTCATATCCTACTATGTAAATATTATTAACTTGTAATAGCTGCAATAATTTAACGTCGTTTCTTCTTTTCTTGTTTACGAAGCTTATGAGATCGTCTCGAATTTGTTTGTGCATCAGCTGAACGATTTTTCAAATCCTAAAAATTGCAAATATTTAAACGCAATTATTTATGACAACATTTTTAAGTATTCATTCCTATACCTCAGATATCTCAAAACTAACATTATCTTTTTCAAACATGGGCAAAATGATAGAAGCTGAAATGCAAGCCAATTGGAAGAAAGCTCCAAAATATAAACCGTAACGCAGTATAATGCTAAAAAAATCATCTTCACCATATTTATCAAGTGGGTTAGCCGTGTTTGTAGCCATTATTCCTATTATTTATTATTATTATTTTTTCTGTTGTTATTTACCGATGAATTTAACTTCTATTTTACTAATTTACTGTCCTTTTTTTTTCTATAATCTACATAATAAACACTGTTACCAATTTTCTATTAACATAAAATAGTATACCACTAAAAAACTTATGAAGCTAAATGAGAGAATAACAAGAGGAAAACAGATATGGCAACATTATAAGCACATCGCGTGAAATTAACAATAAAGCTTAATGCAAATCGATGAGAAATGTTTTTTATTTAATTTTAGTACTAACCAAATTTTATCTAAAAATAATTTTAGATATTTTGCATTCATTTCGTTTATAATTGATTTGGAGAGAATATATCAATTATCATTGTATATATTAAAATGAATAGTTTATTTTAGATAAATTTGCAAATGTAACTTCCCTGAGAAATTTTGTTTCTTTACATAAGATACTACTTGCAAGTTTTACAAAGCATCCCTGTTTTAAATTCATTTGCGTATGCTGTCGAGACGAGCACGTATTAGTGATTTTATTTATTTATTTTTTTTTTTGCATTATATTTCATTTTATATTATTATTCCATGCAAAGTTCATGAAGATTAGAAATTTTATATTTTATCTCTCTTATTTGTGTTTTGATTTATTTTCATGTTTCATTCCACGTTACTTTCAATATGCTTAGAACTTTGAACTTGAAGTTTTTCTCTCATTTAGATTATCAGCGTAAAAACTAAGCTGGCATTGCTGTGACGTATAAAACAAATAATTAAATATAAATAAGCACGAAGGAACGTAGCAATGAATATGTTTACTATTGGAGTTTTGGTGTCGTGTTAAAACTTGGTAAAATTAACTGAATTGAAAAAATAAACAAGGATGAAAACGCTTGCAACTATAGAAGACCGTATTCTGCAACGTATTAATGACGAAATTGGCAACGATTTTAAGAAATTACACCGTGCAGCGAAAATAGCGGAGGACTACGAAACCCGTTTAAAAAAAATTGCAAATAAAGTAAGCAATGTTTATAAAAAATAAAAAATATATAAAAAGCACGAAGGAGGGAAATTATCATTATTTTTGTGTTTTAGTTCAGTTATGACCAAGAAAATAACGCTTCAAGTTTTAAAACCGCTTTTGAACATCAGGAGCAGGCAAGCGAAAGCATTAATTTTCAAATTGAAAAATTAAATCAATTTGGCGAGAAATTATCACAACGTATAGAAAAGTCCAATAAGGCGTTGGAATTAGTAAGTAGCGATTTGGATCAAGTTAGACAACTACAACAATTAGCTGGATATTTGCGGATTATAGAAGAAATCAAAGAATTAAAGTTGGTAAAAATAGTTATGCGATTAAAACATTGTTCAAATGTGTTTTTTTCTTTTGCCAGCAATGCGTTAACAAATGCCTTAAATGGTCGAGACGAAATTAAAATTATAAATCTTTATTTAAATCTCTACGAGGAAAGCAATACGGAACATTGCATCTTGGGTCGGCTTTGTAATGTTAATGCTAACTTTTTAAAATCCTTCGCTAACAGCACGGCTACATATTGGTATGGTTTACTAAGAGAAAGATTTGTTAGGTAACATAGTCAATACAATTCATAACTTCACTTAATACAAATCTATGATAATTTTCGTAGAGATTTTGAAGCGCTTTTGAAAACAATAAGATGGGGGCAAAAAGACCAAAATCTAATCCACCAAAAACCCTCAGAAGATAATATAACTAAGGCTCAAATATTGGCGGAATGTTTGTTCTTAGTAAGTTCAATCTTAACAAAAGATGTTACATTAACTCTAAGCCAAACCGAAGCCTATCACTCAAAGTAAAAAGTAAAAATTGGACGTGGCATTTGGACATTTTTGACCTACATTTGTCTTAATATTAAAACGAAAAAGCTGTAAATTGATGTTTTTATTTTGTTAATAATGTGCCCGCGGGCAAGGCAGCCACCTTCCGCTATAAGTGCAACTTCCTTCCTCAATTTTTGCACGAGTGAAATGAAAGAAAATGCATGGCCTTATAAATGGAAATGCAAGTCGAGTAAAATCTTTGTTGGCGATGAAGAAAAAAATTTTGTAGCGGCTCTGATTTTACTGTAATTATATTTTCCCTACTTGTGGTACGAGGGTACATTAAGTGTTTGCGCCTGTTTATAAACCCCAAAAAAGCTTAAGATACACCCACCTTTCTTTATTCTACCGATCGACTCGGAATAGCTTTCTGAAGCAATATAAACTTGTCCATCTGCCTGTCTATGTATTATTGTGTTTGACCTACGCGTGGTAATTTTTGAGATGTTTTAGTAAAAATTAGAACACTGGCATATTTTGCCCCAAGGACGGTTTCGATTGGGCCACATTTTCGATCACTCTCTAAATAATCCCTCATTTTGAAAAGTCCTCGCATGTTTCATGTTATATGGGTTGCCCGAAGTGGCGTAGGGTACTTCTTAACGATAATATTTTTATTTTTTTTAGTTAAAGTTGCCTAAAGAGGGAGATGAACCGCTGCAAGCTATAACCGCTAATATTATATGTCAACCCATCAGCGCGCCGATCAAATATCTGCTGGCTCCCTACAGGCAACGGTTGTTTTCTTATGGTTAAATAAATTGAAGTTTCTTCTAACTTTGTTAATATTTTGCAGATTTTTGTACCATTTTACTGGTGTCAAGCAAACTAATCGCTTAGATAAACCTGAATGGTTTTACACACAAATTTTGAACTGGGGCAAAGAGACGCATCTGTTCGTAGGCCAGACATTCCAACCCGCGGCAGTTAAGGCGGGAAAAATAGACTTTAACATTAGAGTAAATTTTGTTGTTTTTTTTCCTCTTATTTTGTTATTGTTTTTCCTCTTATTTTGTTATTGTTTTAAATCCTACTAGTTGGAGTTTCTCCGTGGCTTGATTCAACTGACCATAGAAAAATTGGCAACGGATATTGAAGAAATTAGTCGTGATGAAAATCTATTTGCCCATCTGTTGGATGAGACATTAGCTTTTGAAGCTGAAATAAAAGAGAATTTTGGTTATCCCACTAGTTTCCCGAGTGCCATTTGTGTAATAACTCAGCCGGTATATTTATTAAAGTGGATCTCTTTAGAACAAAGATGTAAGTGAAAGATTCAAATCCAAAGGAATGATTTTCCAATCGTTGTATATCGTAGTTTGCGCCGATAAAATGGATGCAATATTACACGCGGAAAATTCTTGGATTGTAATCGATCCGAATACTTTTGATGATGATCTCAAAATACCCAAATGTGCCGATAAATTTGTATGTCTTCTGGAGGCGATCAAAGATCGATATTATTCTCTAATACAACCCGGTCATCAATTACAATTCTTAGATCTGCAGCTTAAACTTATCGATGATTTTCGCAGGCGTTTAGTGCAACTGCACAGTAATGGGGTAATAGAAAGCATTCCCATTTTAAATGCCATCAATTACGTCAAAATGGTTCTAAGTGAGTGGGGTGAGAATGTACATTATTTACATTTGCATGCTGCTCTAGTCGGCCCAAACGCGGAGGAGGTCAATTCGGTATTTGAACATCCTGTCTCCGAATTGGAACATTGGACACAAGAATTATTGAAAAATTTAGCTACCAAAGCAGTTAATGAGATCAAAGCCAAATCCATGGCATACCGTCACGATGGTTGGCCAAATATGCCTGAGCAAAATTCGAGAGAGCCATTTATATTGTCACCTAGCGCTGGGGAAATGTTTCAAGTTATGGTTACCATTTTGCACAATTTTGAACGTAAATTGTCAGCTAACCTCTTCAATTTGACATTGCGCATAATAGCTAAACAGATAGATGACTATATACTAGATAGTATGGTAATGAATAACAAGTTTTCGCCGGCCGGCGCCGCTCAGTTTAATTATGATATGACGCGCAATATGTTTGCTCTGTTTGGACAATACAGTCGAAGACCCGATTTGCTATTCAAAAAGTAAAGTGAAAATATTTTCATAAATAGAAACTTTACCAATTTTTAACAAATTTCTCTCGCTTTCAGAATTCATGATGCCAATAAACTATTAAATATTTCACGTGGTACAGCTTTGCTCCTACACGAGACTTTAAATAGTAATAGTTCGTTGGAAGATGAAATGAAAGCTCTTAGAGAATTGGGTATAGTGAACTTTAAACCGCAAACGTGTATTGAAATTTTGGAGAGGCGTACGGATATTAGAATGCATTAAAGCAAAAATATATTTACGCATAAAAACGTTCAAAAAATGTTTTCTTTTTAATTTTTGCTGGTGACAAATTAATGCGATTTTTACCCGCATATTTCGCTAAGCTAAGAATGAATTCTTATCATTTTCTGAGCTATCTTAACTTATTGCATATATATATTAAACCGCAGTCACTCTAATTGTTCAAAGCTGCAGCCACTTTTATATTAAACACATTTATTATACCCTAAAACCGTGAAATTTTATTAATGTGACTGCGGAAAATGCATTTAAGTTTCGTTTCTAGCAAATACACTTGCGCAAGAAAGGAACAACATTCTCGCATGCATTAGAAATATTTCATAATGGATTTTAGTCTTGCCATTTGCACGATGTTAAAGTGCTGTAAACTGTTAATGAACCTTGGCAATGATTATGATGACGTTAATAGGTTTTACTTTCGAGTTCCGACTTATTTAGTAATATGCACAAGAGGTGCAAGAAACGCTATCTCAAAATCATCAAAACAGGCTTAAGAAAAATTGCTTAGTATTGGTTGTTTCGAGCAGCATTTAAAAGAGGAAACTGTTGTAAATTGAAAATAGAATAAATTTCATACAAAATTGCTTGCTTACAAACAACTGAATCAAACAACAACATTTTAAAGATAAGTAAATTAATTCTCTTTTTTTTTTTTTGTTTTTTAGCGCGAAGAATCAATAAATAAAAAAACATCACTTTACTGAATACATTAATCTTATCGCCAACAGGCCTAAATCCATTTTATTAAACAAAACGAAAAAAAGGCGGATAAAACGTTGTGATAGCAAGTACTGTTGGGGAATATTACTATGCATTAGGCGGAATGGTTCTTTTCCTAATATTGCGGTATTTGGCAGTAGAAGAACACCGAGATTGGCGGAAAAGGAATCTTGTAAAACATAGAAGGGCTCCGCGGGAGAGAGTTATTCCGCATTTTTTTTGACGGCTTTATAATCTCTCCTTTCACAGTTTCCCATAAATTTTTCACCAAGCTACAAACTTTTGAAAATGTTGGTCGTTTCGTGCGTCCTATTACATCCATATGACATCAAGATTTGGGTCTGCCATCCATATATCCAATCGTTTACTGTTGGAAATATTTAAGGGTTGCAATAAATGATATATCTGTAATCATCCCTTTTGTATATATATGTAATCCGTACTATAAGACGTATCTCAATTGAAAAAATATTTTAATATTACCTTCGGACCATAAAATTTAAGTTCATTTTTTTATGTCTAGTACGAAAAATCTGTTAATATATGCATATAGTGTCGTTAACAGTTATTTTTAATTATTAATAATAAACTAAACGGAATTATATTAAAAAATGCTCTAGCAAAGTTTTTCAATTAGAAAAGACAAAATTCCTGAAACTCCTCTAATGTCTCGAGCAAGAAGCAACTGTCGTCAGTGTTCCGGTATCCACCTTCGTGATATTTCAATCAATCTCTTAGCATACCTTATGATGAACGTACCGTAACATATGGCAATGATAACAGATGTAAACAAAGAAAGAAAATTACAAACTGTGAGGAAATAAAGTCGGGCACGAGGATAAAGTGAGAAAACTATTATTTAAATTGGAAAGTGTGCAAAACTGGAAAGTAATAAACGGTTACAGCACGTTGTAGCATTTGTAAAATTTCCTGATTATTCTAAAATTAAAAAAAAAAAACGAAAAAGTTTACACGGGTAAGCACCAATAAGCACATACATACGTCGTAGAAAACTTCGTGTGTGCACCAACTAAATTTCACGTGTACACATATATACGCCTATAAATAGAAGTACATATAAAAGCGAAAATCGATTGAATTTGAAAGGAAAAAAGAAGTCATTAAATGTAAGAATAGTTTTATTATAATTAATTGAAATACGATTGCATTGCGATTGCATTTGATCGGGAATCATTATTTAGTGCGATTGGTAGGACAAGTAATTAATAGGTGATAAAAACAAATTGCTACGTGTTTTAGTGATGGAGAATAGAAAGCTGAAAGTTGTAGACGTGCTGAGAGAACGGGAAGAAAAAAAGAATAGCGGTCCCGTTACTAAAGCAAAAATGTCATTATCTACTAATTTGGTCCGTCAACAGTCGGGAAAAATGGCTGGACTTGATTTATCGGGGATTCTTAATTGTCGTCGAAGGCTCGAATGGACAAAAGAATGGTTGGTCAAGAATCAAGATGAGTTCCTTAGCAAAGAGAATCTTCGTAAAGAGCTTTTGTTTCGCAACAACGAGGTTTACCATTTAAATTGCTTCTTCAACATCACCGAAAGGCAATTCCGTTATTTGGTAAATGTGCTTGCGCCTGTAGTAACCAAAATGGAGCCACAACGAAAAAAGAAATTTTTTAGCGCTGAAGAACGAATTGCAATTACTTTAAAGTACTTGGCAACAGGTAACATCAAAATCATTCAATCATATTTAAATATTTCGCTTATTTATTTATTATGGCTTTTGTCTTTTGCAATCGTTTCAGGCGAGGTTCACTCCTGTCGCAATTACTGTTTTCGTGCTTCCAAGTCAGTCATAATTAAAATGATTGCAGACATTTGCCAAAAAATGCATGAATTGCTCAAGGATAAATATCTTTCCCCACCAAAAAGCGAGGAACAGTGGCTAAGCGTAGCCGATGAAATACAACGAAAACATAGTATATCGAATTGTTTAGGGAATCTAAGCATGAGAGAAATAGATTTTCATAATGCCATTCATCGTTTAGGCGACGACATGGCCAACTCAACGAAACCCGGGCTAATTATGGCAGCTATTGTCGATTCTGATTTAAATTTTATGTACGCCGAAATTGAGAAAGTCGAAGGTCAGCGCTACGATGAGGTATTTGAAAAGTCCAGCATCCGGTCCGATATAGAAAATGAAGTTATTAAAATTCCTAAAGCTCGGGGAAATAAAGATGCGCCATATTTCTTTGCCGGCTGCTTAACGTTGCCATCTAAACCTTATATGGTGAAAATACCGCAACCCCATACACAGTCTACTAAGCTGGAGGAATCGTACGATGCTAAACTTCATAATCTTACTGTTATGTCAGTCCATGCTTTTCGCATTCTCGGTAATATATTCCCGATATTAGGTGATGCCCTGCGTTTGTGTGAGGATGATGCTAGAAAAATGTTACTAGGTTGTCTATCGCTCTATAATTTCTTGCGTAAAACTGATAGTTCGTTTCGAAAGCGTACCGAACAAATTCTGAATAGCGATGAGGAGGACGATTATATGTTAAATGGTAGCGAAGAAGAGAAACGTGAACGCAGAGAATTCACTCCGAATGTTCTTACCTCTAATTGCTTTAAGACTTTGTGCAAGCAACGCGGTGATACAACAGATGCACAAATTGTTCGTCAGCAGCTTTTATCGCAATATCGCAATCAAATGAAATCGTCAACGTAAATTTATCCTGGTCCAAAAGCTATTATAATCAGATGTTTATATATATATATATATATATATGTATATGTATATATATATGTATATATATATAGATCATTGTGAATTGATTTTCTTAGCATTTTAATGTATGTGATAGTCAACTTTTTTGTATTTAGACCTTTCTTTTTCCCATTATTATTATTATTGTTACTTAATGTCATGCTGGTGTTAGTATTTCAAGATAGATACTAGTCGGTTCGGTATTAGTAATCATAAAGTCACTACACTGCGCGCTCTTCGAAATTCAATTTGCTCTATTATTGTTAATTTTATTATGTAACATATTCTAAAGTTGATATAAAAAAAAAAAAATTTTTCGCTTTATTCTGTATTTACGTTGTATTGAAAATTGTTTATTTTCTAAATATGAACATGGGCTTCTGATTATGTATTATATACAATAGATTGACGAGAAGGTTTTCATGTGACTTAAGAGGGGAAACCACTATAATGGCCAAAAAACAAAAAGCAAAGAAAAAGATAGTAGAATAGATAGAATATTCACGAAAATTATATTAAGCTTATATTTAAGTTAAAAAAAAAAATTAAAAATAAAATAATTTTTCAGTCACTCGCGCGAGACATATTTAATTTAAAGACTTTAACAAAAGCTTTTCGAAAAAAGAAAATATATATATATATGTATATATATATATAAATGTGTACATAGCTAGTCAAACACGTAGGGGATTAAACAACAACAAAAGAAAAGGTACACCCTAAAAAGGCAATCTTTGAAATAATGTTTGTACTAAAGTTTTCGAAGTGTTTCACTAGAAATGTTTGAATGAAAAAAAAAAAAAATGAAAATTGTTGGATTGATGTTACCCTGCATTTTCGAAAAATTGTATTTCAAGAATGTTCTTGTTCTATGCATCAATGAAAATTCGAATTTCTATCACGCCTATATTATGATCATTTTATATCATTCTTGACTCATGAATCATTTAGAAGCAATTAAAAGGTAAATTTTGAAATTCTCAGCGATTTTACAGTGGTTTACCCCTTTTAAATCAAATACTTTCACATCTGAATGTGAATTATTTCCTAAAAAAGTAAAAATAAAAAACTCCTATTCGTAATCTATCTGGAAAGTAGGGACCTGGTATGAACCTAACTGCCCACAACATTGCCAAAATGTGATTTACATAGATATATACAGATTTAAATATGAATTAAATTAATTAAACATAAAAAACTTAAAAAATATTGTTAAAAAAAAAGAAAACAAAAAACAAATCATTCAGATTTTCTATGATTGGTGCTGCTCAAAGCGAATCGTTTTCAGAGTAAGTTACTGTCAGTCTATACCCGCAATACAGGTGTACAGTATAACCGAGATAATATATTTGTTAATAATTTCTAAGTCTAGAGCTAGCGATATATTGACATCAATGTTGAACTTCTAAGGCTCTTCAAGGTTTTATTGATGCCATTCTCCATGATATTGAACAGGCCATTGAGATATCAAACTATTCAACTAATTCATTCTCCCTCGGTCCATGTAATTTAAGAAAAAAAAAAAAAAAATCCGTTCGTATTCACGGTTTCCTTTTTTATTTTGTCACCTAGGAACGCATCCCCCTGTAATCCCATATAAATTACCATTCCGTATTCACGGTTTCTGTATTCGCGGCATTTTTATTTAACGTATTCCCCGCGAATAAGGAACTTTTATTGTATTAAGTTTTAATAAGGCCGACTATTCCGTTAAAGCAAAGCAAGAAGCAAAAGAAACATCAATTCTATATATATATTTAGTATTATTGTTAAATAATTCTTTTATTCCGTAAACAAATTATACAAAATTATATAATACTAATAACGTTGCGATCAGTTATAAATATTATATATAAATGCTATTTTTGTGACCAATGTGGCCAATTTTCAAAGCTTTTATATAAACCAGTTCCTAAAGCGAAAGATTCATCCAATTGATTAGCGCCAACTATCTTATAATCCGCTGTTAATTTTTTCGAACGTAAGGCTTTCGTTAAAAATAGTTTTGCGATATTCAATACCTTCGCTGCGGGCGGATCATGGAATGTACCAATAAAAGCGACGGTGATACTATCGTCATTGTAACCTTTAACGGCCGCTGCTTTAGACAACCAGCCACGACCTTCATAAATATTTCCATCTCCACCGATAAGAAAGTTGTACACAATATCGTCATTTTGCTGAGACTCTATATTGAACGTTTGGATCATGCGTACGCGATAGGTGCATTTGCTCTGAAATAAAATAAATTTTTCCTACTCATTAGACACAAAGCCATAAATTCATTAAATAATTATATTACCTGGGCATCACAATCCGAAGTATATGTTGGTACAATTATTACTCTTCGAACAGGCACATCTAATGCCACCAGTGTATTGACGGGTGTTTGAGCTAACCAAGCGTCGCGAGGCACAATGCGTAGCACATTACCACCTTCAATGTTATCTTGTCCTGTAAAACAACAAATTTAAAAAGTCCAACTGAATAACGATATTTTTTTTTTTTCTGATATCTTGAATGCAATTAAGTTTGGTTTAAGTTTTTCTTTTAATATTTAATTCTTAACGTTAATTAACCGTCGTTTCGAATAGACGTAATTTAATATACGATACGATATGGTATAGCTATTCGAAAGCACGCGCGGAAATATACATTGACAAGGTAAGAGAATCTATCGGACCATAAAGACATATAGCGTTATTTATCGAATATTGATGATATAGTTGATCCGGGAAAAATTGCGATTATTAAAATTAAATTCGTAGGAAATTTGCTACTATTTCATTATAAAAAGTCGATCAATAATTCCCGGGACTAAACAAGAAACAATATTTTTTCTTGAAAAATTCGATTCTTATTCGTCCGAGGATGGTACAATCAGATCAACGTGTTTTTAACATTTCGAAGCAATTCTATATAGATCAGTTGTTTGAGAGCCTCAAAATATGTTTCAACTTTCTCAATCATCGCGGGGAGTGACATTCAAGCTTCTTCTCGAATACTGCGACTAGCAAGATTTTATTAGAATAAGGTTTACTTTTCCTGAAGTGGCGTAATTCAAAATTAGCAAAGTAAAAGCAAAATTTTCTTGTCGAAGAATTCGTTGTTTGCCCTCAGATTGATTCATAAATGACGAAGCGTGTTTACGGCTTGTTTTTTCATATTATTCATTATATAGTGGCGGGGGGCCGAAAAAATGGCCTGATATCGTCCATGGTTAATATAATACATCAAGATCTCAGATCAATATTTTGAGCCAGCTTTCCTTATAAAATGCTTGTACCTACATAGATATTTTTTGTAAGCACGTTTATAAGGAAACGAGTTCAAATCGCATTCCAACGTTCCACATTCATTTACTATATATCAAAATAGTATTTTTTTCATCGATTTTTCTGTAGAAATACTTGATGAGTTTTTTAAAATAGAACATCATCTGCAGGGAGGTCGTAAAAATGATCTAATCAATGAAAGATGCAAAGTGTTATCCTCCGAAAGATAAGGAAGAAAAGGCAATGAGACTTGATCTCTTTCTCATGCTTAGAAAAACAATGAAGCATCAGTTGCGTCTTCTTCCTACGGAGCAATTTTCCTAAAATAAAAAAAAAACTTGCCATCAAATCTTCCAATTAAATCAAATGTGGAAAATTTTTAAATAGATTTCACGTAATCATTGCACACCTTTTAATAGTTATTTTAATTCAAAGTTTCACTTTCGAAAGGGGAAAGTCAATTAACCTAAGTCGTAGTTAGTTTAAGTCTTTCTATGTTCGCAATACTACCTCTTGCGACAATGCTACTCAAACTAATTAGGAATCCAAGATTTAAAATATCGATTAACTGTACATTTATTAAATGCATGGGGTGTTATCATAACTGGACTATAAATAGATTATATATTTGTAGTTTCGGTCTCATTGGTCCAATGTGGCCAAGTTTGAATCAGTTTGTATAAAGCTAAACCGGGACTTTCCGTCGGAGCAAATTGCCGTGCCCCATACAATTTATAGTTTTCCACTAATTTCTTTAATCGCAGAGCTTCATCTATGAGCAAACGAAACGCCTGCAATTGTGCATCGTTCGGTAAGCCTGTGTTGAATGTGCCAATAAATGAAATTCCTAAACTGTTTATATTATATCCTTTTGTATGTGCGCCTTGTAAGTCCCAGCCTCTGCCTTCGTAGACTCGGCCATCACTGCCAAGCAGGAAATTGTAACCGATGTCGCCAAAGTCCACTGAATCCATGTGAAAATTTTGTATAAACTTGACCCGATATATGCAAGCCTCCTGAAATATTTTTGACACTTTACATATATGTGAAACTTTGAAAAGAAGCTTTGCCTCTGTTTAATGAGGTCATCGTGTTACTCACAAGTGTTTCACAAATGTCGCTTGCTGTATGACTAACGATTACACGTTCCACGGGCAAATTGAGCGGTACAACTGAGTCCAAATGTGGCCTGGCAAACCATTCGTTTCGCCTTACCAGACGTAGGGTACCTTTAAAAATAGGAGATTTTTAAACATTTTTTTTCCATTTACGCGAGAACGATATTATGAGTACTTGTGTACGCTTGGGACTGGGAACGTCTTTTCTTACTACTTTTACATATATTCGTCAAACTCGGCCTATCTTCGTTTAGATATAATTCAAGTGATCAATCGGGATTATCCATTCTAAGATCGAATCGATTTTATATCACCTCATTCGATGCATTTTGCTCTAATAAATATATGACGTTTTTCCTTTTGGCTGAGAGAGATGCGATGCTTTTCGTGAAACACACTATTTTATCTTATGAGGAATGAATGTTTCCTCTGCCATTCTGAAATACTACCGAAAATTTTCAATGGTCCAAAACAGTTATTTTCTCTATTTTAGCAAAGAGCTCTCCATTGCTCTCAATTGCAGCCAGAGAGATAAGCCTTTAGCTGATTTTCATATAAAGCCCGCTGTCTATCTGCAGAAGCGATTGAACAAATAATGCTTTTTATAATTGCGTTGATGGTAAATGGCCTCAGCATCACTTGTGAAAAGTGCAAACATATTTCTTCGACTATTTTTGAATCCATGAATGGCTTATAGACGCAGATTTCTTATAGATGTAACTGCGTCTTAATTGGTTCCAAAATAAAGTCGCACTAGTCGATCTCATTTTCCCTTAGGTGAGAAAACACGATTGAATTATGGCATCCGATATCCAGAAGAACATCAGGACTCTTAACGCTTTGCCCATTCTATCTTTCGACAACGAGAAAGAAACTCGTCCACAAGTGTGCGCGTAGACAGAGAGAAAAGAAAAGCCAGAAAGAAGTAAACCGAACTTAATTAACATCCACCATTAGCGTATTGGGAAGATCCAAGATACGAGGTGTGTTCAAAAAAAAAAAAAGAAGGTGACTATAATATATGATGACATAATCGAGAAATATTTCTATACGTTAGAAACATTTGCCGGGGATATGAACTGGAATAATAATAACAAGGCAAAAATTCTGAATGTTCGTTCTATAGAAGCAAAACGCCCTAATAAGCATTATATTATGGAAATAGTCTTCCTTAGTTACGTCTATAGCAGACAAAAATGGCAAATATAGAGAATTGCTTGATAAAATGCTGATCTAATTTTTGCTTTCTTGTCTCTAAGAAAACAACAACAAAAATGCATTCAATTTTTGCCGATAGAAAAAGAAAACTCGGTTTCTGCGCTTAATTTATGCCTATCGAATTTGCTTTTGACGTCTATACGAAACGTTTTAATATGACTTTTAGAAACAGATTTACGACATTTTCCGAATAATTTTTATAGTCACGCACGTAAGATATCGCTTAATATTTAGATATCTATATCTGAGGTAACTATATAGAAATATTTTTTTTTTTGTTAATTGTGGGCGTAGAAAACACTTTTGTCAAACATACTTTGGGGGTATACTCGTTATTTTGTTTTTCGTATTATATGTGACACTTAAAAGAAAGCTTTAGAGATCCCATAAAATATGTATATACTTGATCAGCGTGAAATTCTAAATTGATTAAGCCATGTCTGTCCATCTGTGTGGTGCTTGTTGTTGGAACTCTCCCGGCTGCAAAAATGGAGATATCAACTTTAAACTTGATGAAAACATTGGAAGTTTTTGCGCTCAGGTTGGTATTGAAAACGGATCAAATTGCTCAAAGCAGAAGCCCACAATGGAGCATAACCGGAACGCAACTCCGTTTTTCTTAACAACAATTTTTAGGTTTTTACTTGGTACTCAGAAACAATAAAAGTTAGAAGGCAGAAATTTTTCCGCATTTACTTTACGAAGCACTCTACTCGCTACGTACGAAAATGGAACACATGCGCCATGCCCACATAAAGTTACATGTGATTAAATTTTGTTTTTTTGTACATTTTTGAGGTTTTATGCTTATTCATAATCAAGGAGAAGAAGACTGAATGCTTAAAACTATTTTGTACACTCCTTAAATGAAGATATATTATCTGCCTAAAAATGGGTAGCGAATATCATAAGCAACGCAATTAATTATTTCTTTATAATATCAGCGATATGGGTCTCAAAAAAAAGAGGTTGGATAGTAGAATGCGAAAAGCATAGTGGAGATGCTTACTTTTGTTTTTTTATTATGATTGCCTTAATCGCTCTTGGCCCGGCTCTTTATAAATTTTGTATTCTAACGTTGATCAAGAAACTTTCTTGTTGCATACTTCTGGATAAGTGAACTTAAGGGATTGCAAAAACTAGTAGTCTATAGATATAGATAAAAGAAAAATCTGGATAAACATTGAATTAATTTTTTCGAAGAAACTTTAAAGCAAAACTGAAGCAAATCATTTCGTTTTATGAACTCGCAATCAATAATATTAACTGAATGAATTAAATATTTTTTAAAGAAAAATTAATTAATTAATATTTTTTATAACATTCGGTGACATTGAATGTGTATCTAATGAGAGTACCTATTGTGGAATTGACGGGAATATTTACTCGTGTATCTTCGTAAGTTCCGAAATTTAGCTTACTTTTGCCGTCGATTAGCCTCCTTCCATAGATAGCGGCAATTATGATTAATGGTAATATAAATAAAAGAGCCGCAACGATGTATTTTCTGCGATCTCTTAAGAATGCAAACGGCTTTAAAGGTGAATCTGATGCTGAATTATTGCGGTTGCACTTGGCTAAAAGTAGAATTTTGCAATTATTATAATTTTGAAAATGAAAAAGAAGTAAACAATTTTTTATAATAAATTAAAAATAAATTCAAATATCTTTACAAACAATTATTTTTTAATCATTTCTGTCTTTCTTTTCTTTTTTTCTTATATAGAGAGAAGGCCTAGACTATTTTGCCTAATAGTCGTTTCACTCGTTTTGATAGCAAGATACTAAAAATTAATTATTATTTTTATTCAGAGGATATACGATTCATGAAAGTCCCCTAATTGGAGGATGCCCAAAATATCACATCATGTGACCACAATTTACCAAAGTTAATTTACTTCCCAAGAATTTTATTATTTTTCAGTTCTCGTCATAAAAAACTAAAAATTCGACTTTTTCTTGCTTCTCATGATAGCCCCTATATATGTTAGGGTCTAACAAATAGATCTGTCTCATTCAAATTCCCTTCGGTTAATTATACTGTACACCTTTTGTCGTATACGGTATATTAAATTTGAAGAAGGGCTTAATATAGACCGCCCTTTTATTGTACCAAATCTAAGCTTGTCTGTTCGCCTATCTGTCTGAGGTTTGTCCATATATTTTTGTGTTCAACATATAGGTCCCAATTTTTGACATATTTTGATGAAATTTGGTACGCTGGCATGCCTTCATCCAAGGAGGAACGCTATTGAAAAAGGTTCGAATCGATTCACTTTTTCGAGTAATCCCCACTGGAAACTTTTAAAAAATTTTTCGACAAAACTCGCTGTATAATAGCATTTTCACATTTAAAAGTGGTACGAAAATGTTGTGTCGGCCGAGACAATTTTTTGAACCCATTGTTAAATAACCGTTTTTACGAAAACGAAATCAGATTAAATGGTAAATAAGTGTGATTTTCAATACTTCATGTCGAAAATTAGTTTATAAAAGTAAAATGACAAAAAAATCAATTTTGCTGAACTTGAACCATGTAGGTCGGATTTTTGGGTATCACCGCATATAAGGATTTTCAGGAAATGTAAACCCTTGCATGCCAAAAAGGCCGAATGGCTAATATTTTGTAAAGTAAATCTGTTCATGATAGTGAATTGATATAAAAATTAAATGAACTAAATTTGAAACCCATGGGTTTATTTATTGAGCTCCGCTCCATACAAGCTATCTCACGAACAGTAAGCCCTTAAAAAAAATGTTTAATTTCTAATATTTTATGATGAAAATTGGTTTTTAGTCGGAATCATTTTCTGAATCAATCGGTGCAATGAAGGAAGGAAACCTATCTTAAGCCCTTCTCGGGGCTAAATATGTCACCACAGAAACTTATTATGCTTTGAATTCAAATATATATCTCAGATGAATGATTCTGCAAAATTTATAGACTGATGTACATAGATATAGAATGATTTCTCCACTGCTTTGATAGCTTAACAGGTTGATGTAAATATGAAAATTAAATAAGAAGAACTGTAAGGAAGCAGGGGAAGATTTTAGCCATCTTATGAAGGTTTAACTGAATCTTATGAATTCGTTAGATTTATGATATAGTTATACACACACTGAGCTATTACATGGCCTATCGTTCGGTCAATATTAATTCTTGTCACCTAAAGCCAGCTCCTGCGTAAGCAGGTTTTGAGGAAGAGAAAAGGTTTAAAATTATTTGAAAAAATTCTATAAATCAAGCAAAAACATGACGTAATGAGAGTGTATTCGATGTACGTGCAGGGGGAAGTAGTTAAAGCATGTCGACTATTCACTGTAATCAAGAATATTCATTAGGTTGTAAAACTCATGAACTTATAATAGCAAGAAAGTTTTAGTGCTGGATAGTTAAAATGCTTTCATCTATTTTCAGAATTTTACGATAGGTAGTTAAAGTGACTTTAACAATCTTAAAAAACCTGTTTTCTGGCCATATATTTCGGATAGAAGGAAACGATTTTCGCGGGACATATGTAATAGATGATGATGCGCAGTACGCAGTGCAACATTGTTGCAAATTTGAATATACAAAGAAAAAAGAAAAAAAAAAAACAAGAAAGAATGCCATAATCGGGCAAGACTGACCATTAGATCCTACAGCGCTTGACCTGATACAGCCATTCACTTATTCTCATCGCTTATTCACTTATTTTCCTAATAATGCATAATATTCACGAAAGCTCTCATATTAGGGTATAGTCAAATGTCAATGTAGGCTAAATTTAACCTATTTGTTACAAAAATTCCTATTATCCAAAGAAATCATAAATTAGTCTTTGCCCCCATAGAACAGTTTCGTTTCGTGAGACCCCCTTAACAACTAAGCTTAGTCCGCTATGCAATTAATTCTCGCAATTGCATAATAGAATAGACCCAGCAATGCACCATTCGTTGGCATTTCAATTATAAGAGTCTCGTGTCTGATTCGTTAATATTGAGCCAAATGATACGATTGTAATATCTTGAGCAAAACGAAACGCACTGTTCATTAACTGAACTGAAGACCTTCCCAATGACCGACCCTCTATGCTTTTATCTCTTAAATTGTCATCTACATGTACAGATAACCAAGTTTATGATTGAATTCGGTAATGTATCGTTTTTCAATTCGATCGTTCAATTTTTCTTTTCAGAGAACTAACTTGGCAACTTAGTCATCATTCTACGTCCATTCACATTGCTTATAATCAATCGCAGAGCTATCTGCTAATATGCACTAAATTACATTACTTTGGACATAGTTGAACTAATCCTGATCCTTTTACTATACTCGCAATTTACTAAACTGATTGATTAGCTTTTACTTTATTTCGATCATTATCGGTTTATTTCAAGCGAGCAGCTATCTACTCATCATACATAAGAGTGCTAGCTTATAAAAATAAGTAAGAATATTATAGTCTGGCAAAGCCGACTATTAGATACTCTACATCACGTCACCCAATACACTTATTCACTCGATTCGGTAGCACTATGTCACAAGTTACATATTATTTTCGTGCAAAGGCATACCTTTCATGCAAGCTCGCACATTGGAGGAATTCTTCTATGCGATGTATATATCCAAAGAATCAGACCAAAATGGTCCAAATTCGCTAAGGTTGATTTCTATGTCAATTTACTCTTATGAACTAATTTTCACCACGACATATTAAAAATTGTACATTTTTGCGATATAAAGATCCAGTTTTCGTAAGAGTGGTTATATGACGGAGAGTTCAAAAAATTGCCCCAAGAATGTCCAAATATTATTAGAGAGCGAGTTTTATCGAGAAATTTGAAAATTGCAATTTTTTTCCACATAAAGATTTTTCAAAATACGGCGTTATACGAGGTGTGGTCGAAAAAGCCGAAAAAAGCGATTTAAGCCATTGTCAATAGCGTTCGTCTTTGGATCAAAGCACGCTAGTGTACCACATTACATCAAATTAGTTTAAAAATTACGATATCTAACCTTAATACAAAATACCATGGACAGACAGGCTGTGAGTCTATCTTAAGCTCTTCTATGTCTTGACCTACGTGCGCATAAACTTAACATATCCGGCACCCCACCTGGTGTAGGGCATAAAAAAGACACCCATAACGTACGAAAACTCCCAGGACTGCATGGGAATGTTACGAGAAGTGTTGGATTCATGATATCACTTTTAAAGGGAAGTATGCTGATGGATAAAAGAAGCTATTGATCTACTCTAACAACTTTTATACTCTCACTATCTATGATATAAAGTATATTAAGTTTGTAAGGACAGCTGTAACACCCAGAAAGACTTAAGACAGACCCACTTGTTATTATATCGATCGATTAAGCATTACTTTCCGTTTCGATCTAACCTTGTTGGCTCCTATTGTATCTAGCGATCGCATTTTAAGAATTATTTCATTGAAATTTAGAGCATTGGAGGGTTTTACTTCGAGGACGAACGCTATTGAAAAATGGTTCGAAACGGATCAGTTTTTTGAGCACTTCCCGTAGAACGCCTTATTTCTAAAACGGTAGGATGATGTAGGGTATTTAGTAGTGTGAGTCGTAGCCCACTGTACGTGTTAATATTGAACTTCTTTCCAATTATTGAGGCATTATATCAAGCCAGCAACTACTTCTACTATCTTACATAATAGCAAGAAAAAAAAAAAAATCTGCTGATTGACCGAGTAGGCAAGAGTCTCGACCAGCACTTCCATGATCGTGGGTTCAAATCTCAAGTGCTGTAGAGTTTTTAATAAAGTCGAAATCCTTAGATGCTAGTGCTTTAAGACTTTTAGTCTTAGAATTTCTTCTCTGGCTAAATTTACAATAATAATAATAATAATATCAAAAAAAAAAAAAAAAAAATGCTCCTAAAGATGACATATAATAATTTCTAAATAATTGTGAAAAGTTATGGGTCAAATTTGAATTTTGAACAAATTTTTTACACGTCTTTATGGCACTATGAGCAAATGCGGGCGGAACTATTTCCACTCATACGAACGACCTAGACGACGATTCGTGCTGTTGTCTTCTATAGGCAAATGTTGTACGAATTTGTTGGTATCTCTTTCGCGATTATTTAAATTAAACGTTTACAAGTGGGCGTGGTTGACATTTAAAAATTTCAATTTTGATTTGAAACTTCAAATTTTTTATGCGTATTTTGCGATTTTATGAGGATTTTCCAAGAAAAGAAACTAAATATGTGTGTAAAGAGGTATAATTGAATCATTTTAAAATCTCAGGTGAGTGAATTACAACGAAATCGTTTAAGCTAAAACAAAGTTAGTGAAATTATTTTACGTTTTATTATTTGAACCGGGAAATTTATTTGCCTATTAATGTCAAGTAACTTTTTGATGATCTCAATATATATAGCGAAAAAAAATACAATTTTAAGAATCTTTTATAATATGCAACAATGATAAGCAAAAGTTTAGCACATCTCGTAATTTTCAAAGATTATTAATCTTTTCACCTTGATTATGATTAATGGCAACTGCTTTTAAAAGAATGCAAGAACGAAAACACATTTTCTACAAATAACTAAAGCTATATACATATGAAAGTTAAAAAAAAAAAAAAAAACAAAAAAGAAGTTCCCTAAAAAATTGTTATCAATTTTCACCAAAGACTTACATACAATTTGTTACATTTGTTAACATATCGACATCGAGCGCCGTATCCTTAAAGTGATTCATTGGTGAATTGCTTTGATTGACACGTACATTTTGATTAGTAAATTGTTTGTGTATTTCATTCGCTATAATTTCTTTCACTTCGTTATAAAAGTTCTCATTTATATAAGGACTTGGATTCGATGTCCTCGTCATATTTGCGATGAGAGACGTTAATACAGTTTTCTTATCTATTATTTGATCTTTCCGATTTTCACTTGATTCAGTCATTATTCGATAGGAAAAAAATTTGCTTTTCTTTTTCTGTTCGTTTTTATGAAATACTTAAGCGAAACACTCGTCCATCCGTTGAAATAAGTTGGAAGTGAAATGAAATCATTATAAATAGGTTTTTAAATGTGAATATTACGCCGTACCTTTAGAGTAACATATTAGTTTTGTCATTTCGTTTGTCGTAAATCGTATTCAAGGTCAACAACCTCCCACAATAGAAGAACAATAAATTTTAACTTTATTAAATTGCAATTTCCCGATCTACTGATCGTACTATGAGTACATACCATGAATCGTTGGCGGCCCTGTTGGTGCCTATGACACGTTACGAAACCTATAAACGATGTACGATGCTTCGACGGCGAACAATGGCATTAATATTGAATATTAAAGAAAAAGTCCCCATCAAGATCATAACCAGCTTTTATTTTTGCACACTTTTGAATAAACAATAAAAGCAAAGATGAAAAAAATCCCCCAATTGCAAATTTGATACTCTTTACAGGTATCTCGCTCTCTTTCTCTCTCTCCCTGTCTGAACCATTAAAGCGAGCGCAATGAATTTTTTCACACTACAAATCTATTCGCAATAGCTATCGCACACGTATTTACGGTTACTTTTAATGATGACAATACTAATTTATTTTACTTACTGTCTGCTATGCCGTTTCGATTCTCATGCTCTTGCTGCGACATATTATTGGTTTTATCCTCCTCTTCCTGTTGCTTGAGCTTGTTGCGATTGTCGATAAGGAACTGCTGTATGGTAACAGGACCTTCATAGAAATGCTTATCACCGAAAGTAATATCGGTTGAATTGCTAACGGCGACGCTGCCAATTTTGGCTGTTGCCACTGCCGACGGCATTGTTCCTAAACTTTGCGCCTTGCCCAGCTCATCGCCAATGATGCTCAGTTTGTTAAGCGGAGAAATTCCTGCACTCGAAACATTACCAGAATCCGGATTTATTTCCTGATTGATCAGCGTAAGTCCATTATTGATTTTTGGAATTTTTGGATGATTGGGTGGGTAAGTCATTTCTGAATTAAGTTCCGTTATTATACAGCTATTGTGATTAACTTCTTCCATATCAGCATCGTCGTAGGTAAGATCCACATCAGAATCTGATTCAATAATGCTTGAATCAAGACTTCGTATAGAGACGATGGGCGAGTGATTGTGATGGTTAGTAGGCTGGTGACTTAAATTCATGCTATCCAGGTTTAATTGATCGTTAGTTTTATTATATCCTATATTACTACCATCACAATCTTGGAAAATTATCCTAGCGTCACGATTATTGTCTCTATCACAATAGTCAGGTATGTTATCCCTTTCAACGGTTTTTCCATTATAAGTATTTGTGCTACTAAGATTATTATTATCATTATTATTATTATCATTATTATTATTATCATTAT